CACACACACACACCTATACACACACACACACACACACACACACACACACACACACACACACACACTGAACATATTATACACTAATTCTCTTCTTTTTCTTCCTAATTCTATTGAGATATGTGTGTTTTAATGTGTTTTTTGATGTTCCTTCAATGAATGTTAATTCTGTGTTAGTATGTGTAGTTTGTGAGAGTCTCTCATTAATTACATTTTAATCTACAGACACAACCATCCCGAATAAATAAAGTCAAAATACAAAAACAAACAAACAAAAAAGTACAAACAGCAGTGCGAACATACTCTGGCCGTCACACACACATTGTTCTTGTTACACACATGTGGTTTCAGACACATTAAAGGCGTCGGGTGAAAACTCTCCAGTTCCCCCAATTGTTGGTGATAGTGTTTCTTCAACGAACAGCAAAAAGAAAGCGCTGCTCTCTACTCAGCAACCTGTCTGCCTTTAGCTTGACTGAAATTTTCCACTCTGCGGTGCAGTGGAGTGAAGCTGTCCCACCAGTGTCACTGTGCTGTTGAGTCTTAAGAATCAAAAGCTTGGTAACATAATTTAATTGAGCAGAGGCCGAGTTGGATAAGTGTTTTATCAGTGTCTGGTGTCCTGTTTGGTTTTAATTTATTGGTTATTGGACCCAGGTTGAGCTTGTGGACTAGAACACAATAATCAGCTGAAGTGTTTGCGTCATGTTGCAGACTCTCGAAACACATGCAGGAGACAGACGCTTGGTTTTATTTCTTACCGTTTTGTATTGAAATTTGTTTGTTGTTCTTGCTCTCTGATATTCCCAAACACTGAAATATAGAAATGGACATTTTAGGAATTTAATAATTACAACAAAATGGCAGGTGCTCTCCATTGTGGACAGGGGCTTCTAAAATGTGTCCAGAGATGTTTGCTTTTAATGCATAATATAGACCGTACTGTATATGTTTGAACATGTGGTGCTCTTGTCTCACCAAGGTTTATTTGAGTATTTGTTCGCTCATCTCACAAATGTACTTTTAACTACCCTAACACAGTGTAACTGAATAAAGGTTATGATGTTAAAATTATAAGCTTCCACTTGTCTCTTTGGTTAAAAATGATTTATTTAAATAATTCAGCTCCAAAAATACATCATTTGCTGTGGTTACGATACTTGGAGTTTATTTGAGAAAATTCTAATGGGAAAAACATTTCCAAGTCAACCACAATGTCCTGTCCCTTCTGTAGCTGGAGGCGGAGGCGGTGTTTCGTGCCATCACCATCGTGAGACAAACCAACTGTCCTCTCTATGTGACCCGGGTCATGAGCAAGAGTGCTGCTGACATCATCTCACAGGCCCGGAAAAGAGGTAAAGAGCATTAAGACTTAAATGCACAATGTAGAATATTTTAAACTGTGTTTATGTCAAATGTTAGCTTCATTAAAAAACAATGTGATTGTCTGAAATGATTCTGCCAGCACACCTAAAGACAGGGTACCTACATGATGGTATGTTGTACACAGCATCAAAAATATCAGATTTTATTTTTCATCTCTGTCTATCGCCAACTTTTTTTTTGTGGAGATTGCAGTGTCTTAGTGCATTGTGTATTCGAGTAGAACAGTGGTAAAGTAAAGGCTATCTTTGCATCATCTACAAATAGTCTTCAAAACTGCTCACTAAAATAAGACAAAACATAATGTTGAGTCCATCTTGTGATCTTATTTACAACATTTAGCTTGATTTTTGTAAATTCCTGGTACTCAAATCAGTAAAAACAAGCAATAAACTACTACTTTAGTATAGACCTGAATTTTAGAAATTTTGCAGACCATGTTTTCACCCTGAATATAATATACTTCTGCTCATTGGTTGGCATCTTTCTGTCTGAATGCACATACCAGTATAACTGCACCTATGCCCTTATAAGATGATTTTACTGTCCTTGCTGATGTTGCTGCTGCCACAGACTTTGGCTCTGCTTGACACAAGGAAAAATATGCTATTCTCAGAGGAATTTTCAGCTTTGTCATTCAGGTCTTTTCTGCAGTTTAGCTGTCATACAGACCATTCCTCACAGTCACAGGGAAGAGCAGGGGTGAAAAGGAGAATGTGTGTTTGTTAGTCTTTAGTGACTTCAAGAGGACTTCTTCTTGCAGTCATGTACACCTTTTAGGGGCTTTTAATGGCCTTGACACCTTTGTTTGGATGTGTACCAGGAAGGACATCAAACAGTGAACAAAGGACCATGAAGTAACTCAAGAGCAGACAGTGTTAGTGACATGAATCAAACCCTGGCTCATCATTCACGGATGAAAAAGCTCAACTACGAGCTCAGCCACGGCAGCATGATGGCTCAGTGGTTAGCAATGTAGCCTCATAGCAAGAAGATCTTGGGTTGGATTTTCTGTTTGCGTGTTCTCCTTGTGTCTGCCTGTGTTTTCTCTGGGTGCTCCAGTTTTTCCCCACCATCAAAACATGTATGTTAGGTTCTAGTCAGTTCCCTTGACCAAGGCACTGGCTTAGAGTGGAGTGGAGTTCCAGGCTCTGTGCAGTGGCTGCCAGCTGCTCCTAGTAGTTAGGATGGGTTAAATACAGAGGACAAATTTCACTATGCGTTGTGCTGTGTATGATTGTATATGTGATAGTAAAGTTGATTCTCTTCTTTTCTACAACTGAGCCAAAGTGAAATTTGTACTTTGCCAAGGGTGATGGCTTTTCCGAGATTAGGCGTGGTTCCTCTCCTGCAAACACTCAGATGAATTACCAAAGCTTTTAGTGAGATTAAACAGCTGACAAATGAATCAGCCTTGATTCATGAAACTCTTGTTTTTGAAAATGCCAAGAAACACTAAATGAATCAGTTTGATACAATCTTTGAAGGATTTTTTTTACCGTTATTTCTTTCCCAGGAAATGTTGTGTTTGGAGAGCCTATCACGGCCAGCCTGGGGACTGATGGGACACATTACTGGAGCAAGAATTGGGCCAAAGCGGCTTCTTTTGTAACATCACCTCCTCTCAGCCCTGATCCCACTACTCCAGACTATCTGAACACACTGCTGTCCAGGTGTGTATCATAGCATATCCCTTTGGTTAGATTGTTGACCTGTCTATCATTTTGTGCTTGGTACAGTTATATATCATTTTCATCATCTGATATAATTGTAGTGTGCATAGATAACACAACACAAAAGCAAAGCAGGATACAGTAAATTTAAATGTTATAGTTGCTTGTTTCATACTTCAATTCCTATTCAATTCACACATTGCTTGTTGGTGAGATTCATTTAAATTCAATTGGCATGAGCACTAATTTAATTTTTTTTTAATTTAATTTAATTTTTAATTTTAAAGTTCTATAGACACAGATGAATAACACAAATGACACAAATTAGCTCCATGGCTACCATACAGGCTGGTATAGCAACAAATAAAGCATGGCTGATTTAATTTAAGTGCTTTGCTGAATCCTTTACTGTCTTTACCCTGTTGTCATCAGAAGGCAGTTGCCCTTGAACCAGGCCATTATTGTAAGTTAGGAATCTAAAAGAAGGAGAATATTGTCAAAAATATGTTTATGTGTCCTTCTGTGCACCTGCTGCCTGTATATAGGTGTACAAACATTAAACTGCATTCAGTTAAATATATGCAGGAAACTGGAGTTGTTTTAAAATTGCTTATGATAAATTTTTGTTGACTTTGTCTGGTAAGTGAGTTAGAGCGTCATATGAAAACAGGAAACATTAGTAACGGTTTGTACTGGAAAAACAAACCCTGGCACCCGGCATATTCAAATTACTCACAGTCCTTGTTCTGATTTGTTGCGCCTCTCCTGCAAAAATAAATAAACACCTTTCCTTGTCCTTGTGCAGAACTTTACTTGCATACACAGATTGTGCTGTGCTGGCATACTTATGTGTTAACTTTTCATGTTTCTTTGTCCCCCAGTGGAGACCTGAGTGTGACTGGCAGTGCCCACTGTACCTTCAGTGTGTCCCAGAAGGCCATTGGCAAGGATGATTTCACTCAGATCCCAGAAGGTGTCAATGGAGTGGAGGAGAGGATGACCCTCATCTGGGATAAAGCTGTGGTGAGAACTGAGGTTTTTTATAAATAATGGGGGATATTTAGTCTTGATTCACTTGGTCTCTTTTTAAACCAGTTGTCTCCATTCTCCATTCTGTGATGCTCAGTTTGAGCTGTTTGCTCTTTGCTCCACATTTTTCACATCTTTGTGGTTTCTATTTTTGTTTCGTATTTTCATAAGGACGCTTATTTTTGTAACTGTCTCTGCCTTTATTCTCTCCTTTTCTATCTCCACATCTGTCCTTTCCTTCACCCTTGGATACAGCACACTGCCCTCATTTGTCCCCCTTCCTTCTCTCTCGTTATCACTGCATCAGTGTACCGCTGACAGACACAGAGCATGGAGGTTTATACAGCTTTGGAGTGCTATGCTGTCTCTAAAATGTAGATAAGCTTTTTAAGTTTTAAACTGAATCTATTTTCTTTAAGACAATTCCTTAAAATTTGGACTGAATGCAACCTTGTGAGGTGCTGGTAGGTGTATTTTATAGCTAATCCGTCTGTATCACATATATGCATTTCCATATGAGGTAAAGGGCTATTATTGTATCGAGTAACCAGTCACCATTTGTTTGAAAAATGCTTACTATTCCCTGTTTTTGCTTGTTTCGCTGCTAGACTACGGGTAAGATGGATGAAAACATGTTTGTGGCAGTCACCAGCACCAATGCAGCTAAGATCCTGAACCTGTACCCTCGTAAGGGTCGGATTGCTGTGGGCTCTGATGCCGACCTGGTCATCTGGGACACAGACTCCCTCCGCACCATCACTGCCAAGACACACAACTCGGTACGTACTGTGTGCACTGATCAAAGTTCGTACTTGTATTTGTTTCAAGTTCACCAACACTGAGAGGACTTTTTTTTGACTAATGTCAATGCAGTTATTCTTACGGTAATTCCTGATGGCCTCCATTGTCCATTATGTTCTATGCAGATATGTGATTAGCTAAACATAAGAGCCTTGGGTGAAAAGGGGAGAGAGAGATTAAAAAATGCTGTTAAAAAGGTTCTCTTTTAGGGAAAGAGTAAAGCAGAATATGAGATAAGTGCCTAAATCTCTGTGTGTATGTATGCAAGAGACAGTCAGATAAAGAGAGAGAGAGAGAGAGAGAGAGTAAAAAAGGGTGAGGGAGAGAGCACATTTTTGAACAGCTTCCAGTGAGCTCTCAGTTCCTCTGAACGGAAATGAAGTCTCAGTGGATGTTCGCTACTAATACGACTCACACTGCACTCGCCACATGACCGGCTCTCAATGTAAAGTTGAGCCTCACTAAATCCAAAAACCCTCAGCAATGACTTATGTAATGATTTGTGCTGTATAATCAAGAGGTATTTCCTGCCACTATATCACATTCACTTGAACAGATCATCCAAAATATTTTCATGATTGGACAACCATAGTGGGTTTAAAGAATGTCATTCATTGCACAGGATTATGTAACAGTAAATACTAATATTTCAAATACTTCCACAAACTTAAGAGCTTCTCAAACAGCTTTTCAGATCAGAGATTGGATTTCATGGCAAACGTCTCACTCAACATGCAGTCTGAATGAGAGCCAGTAGTATAACCTGGGCACCATTTACTCTATCCGCCTACTTTGCAATCCAATTTGGGGTGCCCTGTTGGCCTAGGTTCTGACCATTAATCACAGCTGGAAGACAATCCAATCTTCATATATTAATATTCGGAAAAATCTATTGACTTGACTGCAAGTTAACAACATGAGTAACATATAAGCTATTGCCTGTTAGTGCTGCTTCCTTGTTATCCTCGTGTAATTGGGTCTGTCTAGCTCTGTCACTTACATTCTTTATTGAATGTCTGGTCCAGTAGTCTGGACATCACCGTGAATCAAAAACTTTCCTAAATTACACTTAATGACATTCTGAAATTGAGGATTTTTGTCAATTGTCATGTGTTCGGAGTTAAATGTTGAAATGAAACTACATTAGAAACATGTGAAACTGTATTATCCCATTGCAGATGTTTTTTGTCCTTCCTCAGAGGGTTCAAGACAAGGGGTTCACAAAGAACACACTCACACACATTATGTCTTACTCACACACACATTTTACATAAACTGTGTGCACAGTCCACCTGGCACATGTGAGTAATGAGAGTTTTTTTACCATTACACAGACATTGGAGGATCCCAAACAGGCCACTCGGCAGCAGAGGAAGTGTCCGCAGAGGAAATTAAGGCTTTACTAGACTAGCACAAATCATGCTTATACAGAAATAAATGAGTGAGGGGAGAATGCATTTACTAACAATGTATGTAGGTTGATCATAGGAATGATGAGGTGACGTTTGTAAGTTCTAATTTGCCTTGCTTTAAGGTGTAATGGCAGTTGTTTAGTAGCAGAGAAAGAGCACTTCTGTGTCTCCAAATGGAGGAATGGAAAGAGAAAGAGAGAACTGGACTAATAATATGCTTTCTCCAAATGTGGAGTACATCCACTGAGGATCCGTGGGTTCTTACATAATGATGTCACCCTTTCATTTCCTGCTGGTCGTCCTCCCAGATAAAATAAAACAGAAGAGAGCAGAAGACCAGAGCATGACAGCTCCCAGTTCCAATAAATCCACCTTAATGGATAGTCTGACGACAGGCCAAACAGGAGCGGTGCTGTTTACCAGGACACTTTGTTGGGGAATGCCTGCCCTGTAGAGTGCATATGACTCTTAGACTATGCTGTATCTTAGTTTGTTATCAGTAAACCCACATCTAGTCTGGACTGCTTGTTGTTGTCAACATAAAAATACATAGATCAGGCAGAACAGGCAGCAACACACACACTTTGAAACCCACTCAGCTTAAGTCATGACATCATGTTTGGCATGCAGCAAGTCTTAGTTATGTCCTGTTCTGGCCTGAATTTGGACGGCAGTAGAAAACAGGGCCGTGTGCAGAGGAAGTAAGCAACAATGGAATGAGGGGAGGGGACCATCGCAGATCACAAACATGTAGAGAAAAGAAAGTTGGCACAAGGGAAATTAAAAGAGAATGAATAATGCACAGTGCTGAAAAATGCAAGGGATTACATAAATCAAGCAAAAATGGGTGAGGGAGAGAAAAACAGAGGATGAAAAACAGACATAGAAAGAGGGATAAATTGAGAGAATGAGGTAGACAATGAGAGGAAGGGAAAGAGAGAGTGAGTAGTAATATGGAGGCATTCAACGCCAGCTGGATGATGGCAGCTGTTTGTACATGCCAAACAGACAAGTGTAAGAAACAAGGTGATGAATGATAAAGAGTGGGAGAAAAGGAGTGTGGTATTAAGAAAGAGTTGAAGAGAAAGAGAATTAATCCTCCACTTCTTGTCTCTTCATTCATCCATCCCACAGCTCCCCCTGTTGATTTATCCCTCATCCCTTCCTTATACCTTTAAGGGAAGAGGTTCAAGAGGTTTCACTGTTGCTTTTCTTAGAGCTCCGTAACTGCTCTTGGAATCTTCTCCTTTTGTTCCTCATCCTGTTAATTTTAGACAGTATGTACATGTAAAAAACTTCAATATGATTTGTGAGATGGATTTAAAAAGTCAGGCTTCTTTGACTGGATGCTCTATTAATGGCATAACATAATAAAATGTGTTTCTCTCTTAATATAAATATGGTGTACATTTACACATGTATGTTACTGTAAATGTATTACTTCACATGTATATGATCATTTTATACTTGTGCTTTAGGTGGCTGAGTACAATGTCTTTGAGGGCATGGAGCTGCGTGGAGCCCCACTAGTGGTGATTTGCCAGGGAAAGATTGTTCTGGAAGATGGGAACATGCATGTCACCTCCGGTGTGGGTCGCTTCATTCCCTGCGCTCCCTTCCCTGACTTTGCCTACAAGCGTGTTAAAGCCAGGAAGCAGGTAAATACAGGTTTTTACCTCTCTCCAATCCACTATTTACATGTACACTACACAGCAATCATTTTATTGAGGCAGTTGTCATATCCTTAAACAGTATGCAACAGTATGTCTTTTTTGAAAGGTAAACGCTTACCGTTTTTAATAATACAAAATTAAGTGCTGGACAAATAAATACAAAAAGAATTCTTACAGAAAGAAAAGTTTGACTCAAAAAGCTATCTTAGTACTCATAATGCTGTTGGACTGTGAGTGATCTCTGGTAGATGCAGTGCCAAAAACACCACAACTATGCCCACTTAGCACCATGGATGACCAAACACGATGGGAGTGGACTGTAAGCGAGGAAGTATGGACTGATATAGAAGTTGCCATGGTGGAGAGAAAACAGGGTGGAAGCAGTGAAGTGGGATGTGGGGGAGATACAGTCTGACATCAGCCTCTAAGGTTCAGCCACAGGGCGCTCGCTGCGCTTTTACACTGTAGTGCAAAAAGTCTGTGCAGTGAGGGTGGTCGGGGATTTGTCATCATGGTTTTAAAAAAGATGCAGTGAGTTTGGATTTTAATAAATTTCCACAGAGACCTACCACACACAGTAAAAGGGTTACCAAAGAGTCCCAGATTTACCATTTACCCTAGTTTTAACAAGACTCCTCTGATTTAAAAGTTATTTAAGAACATTGTTTCTATAACAAGAAAGGCCACAAGGTAGCCAAAGTGTTTGGAAATACTTTCATGTGACAGCCAATGTGTCGACACGTTGGCAAAATAAATATTTAGACCATAAATGTAGCATGAAATCTACAGCGACACATTATAGAGCTACATCAGTTACAAATAAAGAGATGTCTTGTGTCACACATTCATCAAAAGTGATATATTAAATGTAAAATAAAAGTAATGAAGAAATAACGTTATTAAGTGTGAAGTGCACTGCTACATTAATTGAAAACAAGCATCAAACTTTAATATAAAATATATTACACTTTAATATGAGTGCACAGATTAGTTGCAGTCATATTCCTGTATACCACAAATGCCTGTTTAAAACACTGGGTGCCACCACAGTACATACTGGTGGCGCCCACCAACACAGAGTGCTAGGTGCTGTCCAATAGCTGGACCTCATCAGAAATAAAAGGGGAAAAGTTCATTCCTATCGCCTCCAAAGTATTAAGAGTTCGCCCCATTTAACCATTTGATTTAAGAGTTTAAACTCAAAGCAGACCCTGCTCTCTGCTCTCTTGCCATCTTACTTAAGGGCCAGAAATCTCATTGTTCAACCATTTCCTAATTTGCAGCTGGCTGGTGATGAGAAAATGTAGCTGTAGTAACAGTGTGCTGTTTATCTTGGTAGCAGTCACTGTTATGCTTTCTTCATTCACAGATGTCTCTTTTTAACTCTTGACAGGGCTTCCAAAATTCCACTGAGTCACGCCACAGACAGGCAGACAGACAGACAGTGGCTCGTTCACTACAAGCATAAAGTTTCAACTTGATTTGATATTGCATACAAATACTGTATGTTTTTCTGCTTCAGTCTGTTAAAGGGATCGCTTACTTGTGTTTGTATGTCTATGTTTGTGTATGTGTGTGTGTAAATCTGGAACTAGTTGTCTGCAGGAAAAAGGCTCCCTCAAAAATGCATATACAATTCAGACACTAACAGTTGCACAACAAAAACTATATAATGGTAAACAGAAGTGGATTCGGTTATAACAGACCTTTTATGATATCAAACACCATCATTTCTCTGTATGTTTTTACCCATCCTTTCTTTATTTCTCTTTCCATCTCCTCTATCTTTGCTCTTGTTGTTTGTCATGTAGCTGGCGGTCCTGAGGGCAGTACCCAGGGGAATGTACGACGGCCCCGTGTCTGAATTCTCCATGTCCCGTGGTGGTACCCCTTCTGCCTCTGCGAGAACCTCTCCCACCAAGCAGCCCGTCAGAAACCTGCACCAGTCTGGATTTAGTCTAGCAGGTAACCCTGCACTATGCGGTGAGCCCAGCTTTTTAATACAACCCCCACCCTTCTATCACCCAGTCCTTCCTTTCATCTGTTTTCGGTCTGTATTGATTTATTCTGTATGAGACATCAAAGGATCATGCATGTTCATTAGGCGAGCTCCCATCACGCCCCCCTTTTAACTCAACGCAGCTACTATTTCATGGCGTGAAGGACAACAGTCATGTGGTTTTTAGCTTGTTGTCACTTTATGAATGATGCATTCACAGTCCATGGCGAGAAGCATCAAGCATGTAGAGTAATCTAATAATCTCTCATTATCCTGTTTCATACGTAATGATGTGCACAGTATGGCATGCATTTGCCTGCAGTATATCATGTGTCCTTGTAAAAGGGTTTATCTCTGTTTATATGATGATTTGTCTGTTTATGCATGTCATTAAGTTGGCTGCCTTAGCTCTTTTGAGTTTTAATGAGGCACACTGCAGACGGAATTCAGTTAAGTGTATGTACACAATCAGTTAAAGTTGGCTGGTTTTCTGTTTTCCTTTAGTGTGGTTTGACATAAGGCCAACATTGCCCATAAACCATACAAACTGTACTTTTGACCCAAACTCATGATGGGAACTATATATATATATATTTTTTTTTAAATAGAAGATAGCAGCAGAGTCTTCTGTGTAATGCACATTGTACTAAGCTAATTATGGTTTATAGTATCCTGCATACCAGCATGTATTTTATAGTGCTTGTATTCAGAGTTCAGAGCTTAAATCCCGCTGAATCCCTCTCTTACAGTATCTCACACCTCTCAAATAAAATACTTTTATTGCTCTTTAGGTCCCTGTGACCTCTTAAGTGCAGTCTCTTTGTAATGTCAAGCTAAAATCGGAAATTACATTTTTTCCACAGTTGCACTTGTAAGTCACGCTGGATATGAATTTTGGCTCAAGGCCTAAAATGTATACCATACAAGATTTCAGTCCAGGCATCTGGACATGGTCTATTAAGAAAGCCTATCTAATGTGAGAGTTCACAACACCATGTATTCACATTCAACATCTGTTCCATTATTCAGAGCTGCTGAGTGACAGTCTGATTGTGCCCATATGTAAGGTCAACAATGGATTAGCTTAGATTTAAAAAACCAATGTGATAAATTGTTTTTGTCAGGCGACCAAACAGTGAAACTCTGTACACATGGTAAAATAATGAAGCAGATAGTCAGTGTTTCCGCTGTTTTGTAATCAAACAGAGCAACCATAGCTGTTACTGTAGTCATTCTGTCCCCCCTGACAGACTAAATGTGTCCATGTGTGACCTTGAAGGCAAAATTAGTAGGATTTTCCTAAAATACAATGTATGGACTCAAACAAAGATAATCCCTGTCAATCATCACTTCTGACCCACTAAAAGTGTTTGGTGGTGTCTGTATGTGTAGAGACCCTGCCTTTTGCCTGTATTGTTCTTATTTTGTTGTGTTCGGGATGTTTGTGGTTGTCAGCCTTGTTGAAATGGGTGTGTAGCCCCCAGCCCATAACTGCACACAAGGTGTGAGGGCAGGACTCCATAAAATCATAGCAACCAGGTGCCGGATCTTAAGCACGCATCTGAGACGTGCCGTTGGGAGAGGAGGGGCGAACTGACAAAGCCTACTCATTCTGCCTTTAAATCAGTGGTAGCTACAACCTTTTAACTTGGACAGAACACAGCTGTACTCACCATGGTACCAGCTGTCTTTTTGAATGCATGTACTATTTTTAATGTTGGATAACTCATTTTGAAAGAGAAGTTCGCAGAGTGGTGTTTAGCCTTTGGCTGTCTTTACAAGCGTAACTGATGTGCGATACCTCATCGATGAAAAAAGGAGGTGACCTTCGCTGGAAAGTATTTCCACATATGAGTACATGAATTTCGAGGGGAGTGAGACTGCTCCTGGTTTCCCAGGCTTTGTAATGGCTATGTGTGTTTAATAGTGTGAGTATTGTGTGTAATTTGTAATGTGTACATATGTGCGTACTGTCAGAATGAGTCAGTCCTCCATCTATTTTAGTTTTTTCCAGGGACACCACCTGCAGGGTTATTTTACTTGTCTGGAAGGAGATGGGCAAGATTGTTTGCTTAGATGCAGTGTATCATAGTCTGACATCATTCTACTTTCCATTTATATACTTGCTGATAAATTGTTGCAGCAAGACACCCTGGCTCATCCTTTGGAAACACCATGTGTTATGTCAAACTGTAGCTTTTTTTGTTAATGTTTCAGCAGCACTCATACTGCACTCCCCTGTCATCTCAGTGACACATACTGTATGTCATAGGCAATAATGATGTGTCTTGAAAAACCTCTAGTGCCTGGAAAATAATAATGTGTGTGCATGACAACAATTATGTGTGTGCTATGACGGCATAAAAGCTATTCTGAGAAGAGTAAGTTGAAATGATTGACAAATGATGATACCAGTAGTTTCCAGAGGAGGGCAAAAGGACTAAATCATGTCATCAGCATTTGTATAGTCTAACAGGTCTGTGTTATTGGATCCTCTGCAAAGACAAGAAATATATGGAAATAATATAATGTATGGAAATCTGATTTGTAGCATTTATTTTAAGCAGCTTTTCTTTGTGTTAATATCTTCTCAGAGCAACACAAGTACAAACGACTATCTTCTAAACATCTTAAATTCTCTCTTTGCCCTGGCCTTTTTTGTTTTCACACCTTCTTCTTTCTCCCTATGTGCTCCTTTTCCATGCAATTCGCTTCATCTTTATCTCCTTCTCTCTCTCTCTCCAGGTCCCCCGACCCCAGATGACATCCCCATCAGGCCTGCTGGTCGCCGTATTGTAGTGCCCCCTGGTGGTCGTTCCAACATCACATCCCTCAGTTAAATGGCAGGAGGACGAGGGGGCGCATCCAGAAAAGGACAGCAGCCAGAGTGCAGGATTGAGGGTGGGAGGGAAGGGAAAAGGGAAGGAAGGAAGGAAGGGAGTGACGAGTGCGTGGAGGGAGGAGGAGATGCATAGGACCATGATTAGTTAAAAGTTAAAAGAGCAAAACACTGAATCCTCATGCCTTACCTGTCACAATGCTACCTTGCTCAGATGAGAACAGTATCCCTTTTCCTGGGGAATTGAAGTGGTTTGGAGTTGTTACTAAATATTAAAATCACCACCAAAGCACAATACACATGAGCAGTCTTAGCCTCACTTCTTCTCAGTATAGAATACACTATAAATACAGTAAAACCATGTTCACTTGGTGCTTTGGTAATGAGAAAATACACCAGTAAAATGCCACATCCCCACATTCAACCAAGTAAGAAAACCAGCTATGCTTTTAAAGGAAAATGGATACTGCCTTTCTCAGAATGATGCTATGGTTCTTTCATCCTGTTTGGCTTTCAATGTCACCCCCTTTTCAGTAGCCTGCTTTCTCCATAGTCAGCAAAACATAACACTAGATCCCACTTTAGCCATGTATTATCATGCAGTTCCATTGATTAGCTCTAGGTGGCATTGTATGTACGGTAAATGTAATGTAGCTTTGTGAATGATGTTGTTGCAGCAGCCTGTTTTGGGTTTACTGGACCAAGTAAAAGGCATTTATCAAATCTTAGAGCAGGAGTGCTTTTGGACATGGAGCTGCATGGGCCACATTAACACAGGTGACGTGATCCATGATCCTTTTTTGCCCCCCTCCTCTGAGGTGCTTGATAAATTCCATCCTCATGATGTATTGATTGCATAATTATTGGTGTAAAAAAAGGAACATAGACACATCTGCTCAAGAAAAAGATTTTGGGAAGACAAAAGAATAGAAAAAAAAGAAATGTTTGAAGTGGTTTTAGTATTCTTTATCCCCAAAAGCTTTATGTCAGTTTTAATTTCCTGCACTCCATCATGGCCGTATAAAGATGAACATGGCAAGAAACCGTCCTTTGCATTTGCTTCTAGCTAATTGCCTGCTCCTGTCATCCTGAAATCATCTTATGAAGGAGAATGGAGGAAAAAAAAGTTATAAAAACCTGTTCACAAGAAGCACGAATAAACTCAACTTGTCCCTTGTAGCTTAACCGTAACTAGCATTGCAATTGAGGGCAAAGAAAAAACAAAAAAAAACAGATGCAATGAAATGAATAAGTAACAAAAACCTGCTTTCAGATAACAGCACTTCACCTCTGGCTTTACTTTTTCATTGCTGACAAACTGGGCTCTCATTTTAGGACAAGAGAAAGACCATCATTACCTTGTCATCCCAACATAGGCCTCTAACGCAATCCTGACCAATACTAATTTAACATCAGCCTAAATATACACGTGGGTCCAATTCAGTTTACCTTAAACACTCTGGATCTGATTGTGTTGGGGGGTCTTAAGAGCTCTTTTTTATGTCTCTGCTGTTTTCTGATAAGGCGGGGGGTTGCGGTGCAGTAAGGGAAGCTTTTATTTTGTCACTGTCCCACTGTGGGGGAGGGAAGGAGAGAGGGAGGGAAGGAAATGGCGTTTTTATTTGGCAGTGGTGTGGCAGACTGAGGCAGGCACAAGTGGTGGTTTGTTGTATTTATGTTGGTTTGACAACCTTTGTTATTGTTTTTATGTTGTTTCTTTTTTACTGTTGTATCAAAACCCAGAGATGGCAGGTCAAAAATAAGGTGTGTTGTGGAGGTATGATTTGTTTCCTGAATAAACATGAGTTGCAACTGACTGACTGAGATATCTTGTTCATTATTATTTAATTTAACAGCAAGAAGTATGCATGAAGGGTTGCCATATTACAATTAAGGTTTATATTTATAATATTTTTAACGAATTGAATAGTTCTTTCAAGAGACTCATCATCATTTAATTTTGTCTTTTTATATGACAATATATTATAAATGATATTTAAAAATAGCCTGCTTCATGGATTAACTTTGCACATTTTGTTCAATTTACGCTTTAGCATTGCATTCGGATTTTAAATTAAACAATATAAGGCTGTTCTTTTGTACTGATTTTTTTTTTTTTTAGTTGTAAGCTATAAGTAGCTTTGTAAAATTCAACTTTGTATACTCTGGTATAATTTGCATAAAACATCTGTGATGCAGTTCACCTTAACGACCATCAGGGGGAGCACTGAATATCACGAGTACCTACCTGCACTTAAAGTGTGTTTTGAAGTTGTAGTCCTCGCTAACAACGCCGAAAACTCTGCTGACAGTTTCACCTGACTGGCAGTTGGTTCATATTGTAAACATTTGCTCAATAAGCAACTTAATTAACGTCAAATGCCTGCCATGGGCCTCCGTGACTGTGATACATAACGTTATGACGGCCCTGAAACGTGTCAGTAGAAAGTGTCATCTGTCAGCTATCCTGCTAGTGTTAGCCACTGATAATATGCATAAGGTGTTAGCTAATTCAACCTAGCTTTGGCAACATGGTGGCACCACCAGCTTCTTAATGAGCCAACGGAATTCCAACCAATAGAGGTATTATTTACTCTTATTGCGACATTTATTGTTTTTAAGTTAACAACAACAACATTCAAGCCAATACTGACACTTTTCATAGCTGTTCTGATAACAGCCTTCCCCCTGACTTTTTTAATAAGGCTTTTATTGTGAAGCAACTACAGCTTAGTCAGCCTTAGTCAATATTATCTGCTAAATAATTGTCAATATTACAGGGGGAAATTGTGAATGAAGAAAAGAGTAAAAAGAAGTTAGAGTGAACTTATAAGATGACACATCACAAAGGCAAGTCTCATATATTACCTTTCCTTCTCTTTCTATGGATTCTCATTAAAGCTGTTCCTGTTTCACAGACCCATATAATGTTTGACATGAGAGGCTAAAGTGTGTCCAAACTGTGTAAATTTAGCACATTATGAAAATAATTTAACAAAACATGACACTCTCACTGTGGGGTCTAAGGACTTGGCAGAATAAAGTGTCCACTCAGTCTCATTGTATTCCCTAGTAGTGGGGGATACTCACCCTCACTGTGAGGTCCACCGGTAAAACTGCTGCTGTGATGTCCCACGCGCATTGTTTAATATTAAATAAATGCCTCATAAAATCATAAGCCATCATGTCAGATGGCAGAGATGACGATTGTAAAATGCAGAATTGGTCTGGATAGAGAGATGAGTCAGCAAACCTCAGTCTAATCTGGTGTGCTGCGTGTGGTGGTTGTAGGTATTTTTGACTGTAAAATATTTCTGGAGAGGGTAATGTACATTAATAGTTGTTATTATCCATCATTTCCTTTCTAAAATAATAAAGATATTAAACATTTGTGTGTGTGTGTTTGTACAGCAAGTAGATAGAGTTTCAATAATATATATGTTCGGCCAAGGTTGTCTGCCTTTTATCTGTGGTGATTCCAGGCAGATTGGGAAGGCATTCATCAACTGAAAATCAGATCAGCCATTAATGTGAAAAAGTGCTGCCTCAGCTCATCCCACTGGGAACAAGAGTAGGGACTGTGCCCTCTAGATGACCTAGGGAAGTGGTGGACACAGATCTGTTAACTGTGGATGAGAGAGAGAGAGAGAAGAGGAAATGCCTGTGGTGCGTGTTTGATACTGAGGATTCATTATCAAGGAATGTCCTGAGACACATTGGAAAAGAGAGAGGGAGAGCATGTTAGCACTTTGCCAAAGTAGACTCATGTGGAGTTAAACAGCGACCTCTGAGTTTGGGATGAGGATTGCTTTAGGTTTCCACTTCTCCTTCTATTGTATTTAAAATGTGTTCAGTGCTTATCTATGTAGCTCAGTTATGTTTACATGGTAGCCATGGGTGTTCATACCAAGTCTCTCCACCCCTCTGTAAGTTTTAAACTGCACTACTAGTCAGTTAACATTTGGGGGCAGCATTATATTTAGGAAATATAAAGATAAAGTAGAGAGCAATCAACACCTACACAAACACAGTACATACCTTTATATCCAAGTTTAGATTAGGGTATAGATCTTTTGGCATATTTTCCCCTTTTTATATCCTTTCACAATTCCAAATTATGTAAAAAAAAAAAACTTCTATTATTGATGTCATTCTCTATCCCATTTTACTTATTATATATACATATAATCCTTATTCAATAAAATACCGTAATTCAGTAAGACATAAAGTGAAATAAGCACAAGACATAGCCGGATTGGTTCAGAAAAAAGAAAGTCATTATTATTTAAGGCACACCTTAATAGTTTGCAACTCCATCACATCTGAATACAATAAACACAGTGACAACTGAAGGACAACAAAACCTTGATAAGAATGAAATTCACAGGTGGGGAACAATTCTGTTCCCGGACAAAATATATTTTTTTAGATAGACGTTTTGTCGAAAATTTGTATTACCTGGATCAAATACTATTTGTCAATGATTATTTCATACGTTCACCATTTGGAAGGGTTCCATCTGATAAGTAACCTGTTGCAATGAACTCAACACAACTGGTACTCCTATCATATATGAACAAATTAAGATAATCATTCACAAATAATATTTACTCAGGGTATACCTAGGATTAGTCCATCTGTTTAACTACCCCACTATAGCGTACAGGAAACCACCTTTGGATCTGTAAAATTACATCAATGACAACAACAACAACAACACAAAGGTAAGTCAAAACATTTTTGTATCAATTTCCAATAGAAAAGTGCCAACAGTAATGAATTGAATAGAGTGAAATATGTTTCAAATTTAATTACACGTATCATAGGCTTGAAAGGAGTGAGTCATATTGCAGATATTGCAGCTCAAGGTCAATAGAATGACTAGGCATTAGTAGAAATCACATTTACTTACTGGTTGTGAAAAAAAGCTCAGGTTTTTTCTACCTACACATATAATTTAAGGGTACCAGATGTGTGCCATATCTATGGTATAAGGCATCCCTCTGCAAACATCAGAGGCAGGTGTGGTTTTCTTAGACATGGTTTTAGCCAAGTCTGCAGTAAATCTTACACTTAGAATCAGGGGCATTGCCTTTCCTGTTGTTTATTTGTTTCCTTCATTGTTTTTCCTGTAAACAAAAAAAAATTTAAATCAATATTTTCTCCCTCTGTGCTATCCAGCTAGTGCCAAATTAATGTTGAATACCATCTGCAAAAGACTGCTGTTGCAGAATGTATTCTTGTATGGAAGCAATTAATTGCAAATACAAATTTACAGACTTATCTGGTGGCACATATGTAATTGGTTGTATCCCACACAAAAAGGAAGGACATGAAAAAATTATTGGACAAAAACAAAATTTCGATGCAGACAGGAACTGAAAAAAAACTAATCTTATCTAGGACTCAGCTTAATCCTTGTCTATAAAACCATCCCTAAGGGAATAAGTGTTCACTCACAGCTTTAGATTTTTTTTTTTTTTTGCCTCCCTGTGCATAAATGCTACAGTTGATGAAGAAGCATGTGCAAAGCAAGGTTCAGTGCAGAACATATAACATCTACCAGCTACCTTTTCTATGTTTTCATAGCTACAAAACTTTATTTCAAGACCCAGCTGGTCATTTGCAGATTGAGGCAAAGGTCAGTTCAAAAAGTGTTTTAAACCAATTCGACAAAAAGCTTTCATCAGAAGGTGTGTTTACTTGGTGTGCTCGAAGCTTTCAACCACATCTGGTGGCCTTAACTAAGCAATAAACTTCCAAGGTCAACAATGGACCCTCAAGCTTAACCATAAAACCATTGTTTGTCTGCGTTTGAGATTCTTGTATTGTCTTAAAGCATATGCAAGTATAGAAAACTTGCGGCATGTTTTGCCTATATCTGCAGCTGATGGAGCTGGGACATTATACCAAATGTTACAATCCTACCATCTTTGTTAGCTTCACTAGCAAAGCGAAGCATAATGACCACTACCACCATGTATCTGCTGCTATGATAAAGTGAGCCATTCACGCTCAAGCCTACAGTTCAGCTCTCTATTTTCTATCTTAGAGGAATCTGTGGTTGCTGTCTTAAAAACAAAGGCCTCGTTTTACCCTATTAACCTCTTCATTTGAATCTTTTTTACTCTTAGTGTNAGTGTTTGTTTGTTGCCAACCCAGCTACTTATGCTTAGTCTTGTTAAGTCCATTCCCATGTAGCACTGTAGAACTAGTGTTATGTTTAACTGTAATTAACCAGAAAATACCTCGCTGAAATGTAAAATCAGAGTTTTCCGCCCAAGACAGCAGCAGCACATACAGCTTTCAGCCATAGTTGACTACATCAGTCTTTTATTTTCTCTAACAGCTGAGCAGATGCGGCATTATTTCCTTTTTGGCAGGGGAGTGACTTCTTCTTCACTTCAGCAAACTGCCCAGAGTAGAGGTTGAGCAGACCTTAGAGCACCAGAGTGATGTAAGGGAGCATGGTGTGAGTGACACTCTGCTGAGAATCATTCTTCTTGGGGACAGCAAAGCGAAAAGTCTGGCTGTGGCATGGCTGCTGCTCCAGGAGTCCCGTTTCACTCCTGCAGTTCTGGAGCTATTGTGTTTTTTGTGGGTGAACCGTGATGCGTACTGCATTTGCGTTTGTATAGACAATGGAGTGGTGCAGGAACATTGAAGACCGCATCTGAGTGCCTGTGCTGATATAACAATAGGTGTCTGTGTGTAACTAGCTGATCTACAAGCTGTGGACAGATGCAAGTGATAAGGGAGTTGGTAGGGATCTCGGGTCATGAGACCTATCCTGATAAGAAGGCAGCCGGTTCAACATTGTTGTTCTGTCCATCCTCTATGGCCTTGTTCTTCTCACTCGTGGACAACTCAGAGGAGTCTGAGTCCACCACTGCTTTCCTTGACCTATTAAATAAAGAACACCTATTATTAATATTGAACATATGCCAGCACCTACAGAAAGTATAAAAAGACACCTCTATCAGAAACACGATCAGCCATAGTTAAATTATTTTACCCAGCAAAACACTGCCTAACCATTCACAGCTTTAACAAAAAAAGGTGTCATCTCAAGCTTTTTTCCTCAAAATCTTACCCTCTTAAAGATTGCAATAGCTTTAACATTACGCATACAAATAAATAATGGATGTTGTTCCTTGACTGGTCTTAAATTGAGTTAGTTTTGGATTTACCTCCAGTATATAGTCCCCATGGGGGACCCTATCTGTCAGTCGTTGTGTTTCTGCCTTAATCACACACCCACATATATTGGCTAGACCCTGTGCCACAAATAGCCACAATACTGTCCTTTCACACCATCCTACATGCTTTCAACAGCCAGAAAGTTTGTTTTTTTTCACTTTAAAACAAGGCCTGGCTACAGTCTAGAAACTGCAGAACATTTTATTTATCAGTCAACCAAACATCATTTACAGCATTTATCAAATATCTTGTTAACTATTTTAACCTTACTTTAAGTAAAATTATGTCTTTATTTTGAGAAACAAGCATTATTTCTGGAATGCTTTAAGTTTCACAACACTGATGGTTGTGATATTTACTTAAAGTTAATACTACAATGGCAAGAAAACTAGATTTACAGTATTGTCGAGAATGTGTAGGGCATCTAATGGAGGTTCCTTACTTTTCTCTGTTGAAGACAATGAAGTCTCTCTGGACATTATCCAATCGCTGCTGCAACTGACCATTCTGCAGGAGAGACAAACACAGAACAATATCAGCAACTGAATGACCACTGCAAGCAATTCTGAAAAAGCAACAAAAAAAAAAGAATCTGGGCCAATCATTAGTCATTATTGTTCCCAGCTGAATCAAATTACATTAAATGCACATAAATTAGTTTTGGTGTCACTGGTTAGAGACATAACTTGCAGTTTTGTGGTACCGGCTGCCTGACACGCTCACACACGGTATAGTGCAAAACGTTCTACAGGCAAAACACACTACTTTCCTACTTTCCTCGTTTCTTCCCCTTTAATAAGATGCCAGAAGAGGAAATTGACTTAACTTTAGAGGACACTTATGCTCTGATGTATCCACCTGCTCCATGTACTCATACATATTTGGCCCACTTAATCAAGTGAGAACATCCGGCTCTGTCATGCCAGGCTGTTCTCACAACTACTGTAGTGCCAAGGCAAGTAGACAGGTGCTTTTTCACTCTCCAAAGGAGGCAGTGAGGAGAGAGATCATAGAGATACATCATCATTATGACACTGTACTTTGTGTTTGTGTACGGTGTGTGTGTGTGTGTGACAGAGAGACAAACTAGCAGAGATGCAAGAACACAAGAGAGAAAATGAACAAATGCAGAAGGGTGTGTTTATTTGCTTGTGCAGAAGATTTTCCAAGATCTATCAATATCACTTCTGCGTGTATACACCTTGAAAACTAGGCCTCACCTTAACTAAAATACAGATTTCAAAATGAACACAAAAAACTCCAAACTGTTCACACGGGACCTTTAAAATGTCTTTACTTTGGAGGATTTCCTCAACCTTTTACGATTACGGCAAAGAAGGACCTCATACTTAAAAAAAAAAGGAAAACACAGAAAGTGCGTACACAATGAGTACATGCTGCTTTCCCACACACCCCTCCAGTCAGATTGACCCTCAAACACTCTCAATTCCAGCCTCCTGGAAGCGCCTTCCAGAGAGATGTGGCTGACTCCCTGCCCAGATCTGTCAGTCACACAGCCAAGTAGTGAGGCTATGTACAGGTGCTGTCACAGTGGGGAAGCAGCCACTGGCAGACCAAAAGCCATCAACTAAATTAGGGCAGGAAAATAGAGAGAAAAAGGGAAACAGGCGAGGGTGTTGTGCACGTACATTTAAAAAACGAACAGAAGGTGTGGAGTGCGCATTGTGTAATCATTTTGCATGCGTGCACGAGAGGAAGGAAGAGGGTGAAGAAACAAGACGCATGTTTATGATTATGAACATATATGTTAATTGAAAGTGGGAAAAAAAAGGCTGTCTGGTTTCTGGTTACAGTCACAGAAGTATCACAGAGGAGAATAGCAAATTTATATGGAAATACAAGGAACCTAACTAAAAATTTATATAACCATCAAGAATCCAGACAGAGACTGGGAAAACAGGGTGTGCTTGTGTGGAGAATAACGAAAGGACAAAGAAACAAGCGGAGCAGACAGAGACGGAGGAGGAATACTGTGCATAATTTGTCAAACATCAGTGATAGATGTGATGCATAAGAGATATGACAGATGAGACACACGGTATGATGTAGTATCTCACTGATGTTGTCATATTGACAAGTTCTTAGATCTAAAGGCATGACAGAACCTGACAATAAAAAAAAAAACACTGCCTTTCTATAACCTTTCCACATATACCAGTTCATTTACAAAGCACATATCTGGTTTCCTGAGGGAGTGAGGGAGGAATTAAGAATGGAAGTAAATAGGGAACTAAGGACAGGAGAAAACAAGGAGTAAGGAAGACGTAAGAAAGGAAGTATGGAAGGAAATAAGGAAGGAAATATGTAAAGAAGGACATAAGTAACGGAGGGAAGAAGGATATAAGGATTTAAATAAGAAAATAAGTAATGAAAGAGAAGGAAATAAGGATGGAACGAAAGAAGGGGAGAGATGGGGCTAGAAGGAAGAAAGAAGTGACGTTTAGTGGAAATGACGTTCATGGGCGGTACTTAAAAAAGCTTCTGGCCTTGCAGAGAGAACAGTAACAATGCTTTAACTTTAGACACTTCACCACTTGTTTCTCTCGCTCTGTCTCTCTCCCTCTCTCTCTTTATTTGATGCTTTTAAAAAGACAGTTCAGAAGCTAATTGCTCCAGCTGCTAGATTAAACTTTCCATTTAATGAGACAAACCAACAGGGAGTGCTCTGCTGGACGAGAGCCTAACAGGGACATTTCTCAGCGACGTTCTATAGGCTTCCTGTGTTTCTGTCTGAGGCTGAGGACAGCTTTTGTTTGTAATGTGATTGCTCATGGTTGAGGTAGGAATTTGGTAAAATTGAAACAATCTATAATAAATTCAATAATACCCCAATATTTGAATAATTCCGGATTCCTATCTTAAAGGTTACATACATGAAATTAACTTGCTACTGGATGCTACCAGCATCTCAGACCAAAGCAATGGGACAGAAACACAACAAAACTCAGTCTTTCCACAGTATTTCCAACAATCAACAACCACTGCTGGTTTGGTCAAAATAAACTCTTAATTCAAAGAGTTAGACATGAAAATATTCATGAAAGGGGCTGCAATGGCTGCAGCATAAGCTAACATTAATACTTGAGGACAAATGCACCCGTCACAGTACGTCCACTGAAAGTGTTTTTGTTTTTGTCAGTGACAGGCCCAGATTGTTATTCTAAGTGTCTGACAACATTGTGGAAAGGACCCCTACAGAGATAGACCTTTTGTGTAACCAGAAACAGACATAATATTGCTATAATGGCCACCAGACTCCATAGACAAAACAGTAATTTTACTTTGTAACTTCATTCAAAGTGGACAGAAACTAAATAAAACTCACCAAAACAGCCTTTGTTGGTCTTTTCAGCATTCACCAGCTCTGGTTTGGTCAAATTAAATCCTTAATTCACCGAGATGGATGACAAAAACTGTTGCGTCAGTCGCTCTACTCAGCTGTGCAAGCAGCAGGCTGACTATGCAAGCAAACCACAAAAAGGCTGCGATATCAAAGGGAGTGCGACATCATTCTCTGCTCAGGACGTCATTGCTCCTCTATATCTTTACACAACAAATAGTTTTTCGCTGCTATATTTATGTTCTAAATCTCATACAGTTTTAAGGTCACTGTGCAAAAAAAAACCCACCTTGCATGAGTGTGCAGAGAGCATGAGCGAACATTAAGTTATGCAATAATTTGATTAAGGTGCCATAGTCGGGTCTATGTTTATTTTCTACGTATATATATATATATATATGTATATATATATATATATATTGTAAATTAAGTAAATTAGTATTTCTTATTCTGATATAGTACAGGTTCAAGTACATTTGATCATTTTTAGATCATGGACTGAAGAAAGAGGGAATGTGGAATATATGGTTCACAATAAATTAAAAACTGTGATGTTTTTTTACCCCATGGGAAATAATGAAAAATGGTTAGGAAGAATGCTCAAACTACAATTTTAGCAGTCCAGACACATATTTTATGTCAACATTTTCAGCTGAGCCTGCTGTTGTTCAGTCTAAAAATCTTACTGGAACAAGTTCTATTTTTTGAGTAGTTTGACTGCTTCTGATTACATTCCTGCATTCAGAACTAAACTGGAGACAAGCTCTGACTCTGCACTTTTAATTAGTGGCACACAGAGCCATATCCCCAGATACAGTGGCAACTCTGACTCTTCCAGTAGCCCATTCATTTACCTGACTCTAATGCTAATTAAGTGATTTTCCCATATTTTCAGCTTTTATTTTCTTAGCAGCAAACACACATACATACATCTGTATACAGGATGGTATTTTGGGTCCATTGGCATGGAACCAAAACATTAAAACCCAGTTATTCTTTGTGTCTCTCTCCATAGTGTTGGACTAGTCATCTGTCTTTCTGTCACATGATTTTACTGCAGCTTTCAGTAACCTTAAACCTGCAATACATTTCTTGACAACTTGAAGGCAGTGGAATGGAGTCGAGAACGACATAACAAAACCTTTTAAGTTGGTTTGGCAAACTTGTTAGCAAACATTTGCTTATTTACTCATCTAGCACTTACAGCAGAGAAACATTATTATTCTATAGACCACCTGGTGAATGTACCGGTCCTAAGGTCCAATAGTAACTCTCCTTTTAGCCCTGTTTTTGGTCTGTACCAACTCCTGAGGGAAATCTGGTTCTTTAGCTGCTAAATGCCCCCTTATGCTCACCAGCTGGTTGCTAACTTTGTCTGGCTACTGTTTGGTGCTCGAGCAGATTTAACAACAGCCATACTCCAACCAAACATTTAGTAACCACCCTTGCAAAAACCTATCCTAAAACGATTGTTTAAGCTGTAATTAATAAAGGTTAGGCTAAATTGGAAATTATATTTGTAAATTACTTTGGCTAAAAAATAAATATAAAATTAAATGGATAACACCAATATAATATACTCCTCCTCAACCCTATAAGAGAGAGAGTACGTCTCGCACTCTCCCGCTTCCCCTGAAAAATACCATTAAAAGGTAACAAGGTTGGTGTGTCGTATTTTTTTTTAGTTGGTTCATTATTGTTTCTTTTATTTTTCTACTTATCCCCCCGGGATTTTATTATTTGGGGTGTGTGAGTCCCGACCAGCACCACTTTAAATTGCTATAGTGGGTGTGGAAATAAATACCCAACCCTCCTCCCGCACACAAAATAATGTATAATACAAGGCTCCAACAATTGCATACCTATAAATGACTTTTCTCTCTCTGTGGCTGTGTGGTTTACCACCATAACTCTCTCCTTTTGTTGTTGTATGTTGAGGGGAGGAGATTAGTCATTTAGAGATGGCAAAAGGAGGTGAAGACGGGTGTCGAGGATTTGATTTTAAGACAGTGGAGCGATTTGTGGGCTTTGTGGTGTAGTCTAGAAGGTAAGGATGGCTCAACATGGTTGTTTTCCCGCTAAAGAGTGGAAGTGTGAGGTGTATATAATGGATACCACAGTAGATCACACTAATACAACTAAAAACAACCTGGAAAACCATTTTTATTTGGAGAGGTAATGGTATTCAGGGAACTGAATTCAGACCAATTTTAGAATAGTTACTTAAGTCCATATAAATGAAAATTACAATTTTTTCCAAATTAGCTCTTTTTTTTAATTACAGCTTAATTAATCGTTTTAGACTAGGTTTTTGCTTGAAGGGTGCTTACTAAATGTTTTGGTTGAGTATGGCTAGTTGTTAACATCTTTGCTCCTAGCACCAAACAGTAGCCATTCAGAAGTTAGCAACCCAGCTGGGTGAGCATCAAAGGGGGGCATTTTGCAGCTAAAGAACCAGATTTCCCTCAAGGAGTTTTACAGGACCAACAAATTCAGGGCTAAAAGGAGAGGTTTCTATTGGACCTTTGGACCGGG